GATACGTTGTTCCCTCCTAATCTTTCTGGGGAAGCAGCTTGGATCAGATTTCAGGGGAGATGTTGTTGGGACAGCCTGGGGATGCAACTGTGTCGTCTCGTTGTTCTGGAGCCTGGAATGTGCAATATTATCAACTTTACTGGCTTTTTTTCCCTCCCCCCCCCTCTGTCTCTGGGAGGTGTTTCTTAAGGAATAGCCCCCTTTGTAAACTCAGTTTTCCCTTCATCCCGTGTTGGGAAAAGCTTTTTAAAGGTGCTGCTTCAAAGTGCTCCTCCTCTCACCCAGGAAGGGATTCCAGGATTTTGGAGGCTGTGCCCTCCTTAAAGGGCTTGTTTCTGCTCCAGTTTACTAAATACCAGAATATTCAATAAGTGCAGGAGGACCAAAGTGGAGCTTTGGACGATGATTTTTCTCTGTCTCAAGGAATCCTCTCCCCTGAAAAAGGGGGAATCTTTCCAGGTTCAGGCTTTGCACTTGGAAAGTCTGGGAGAGACTCACATCTATATTTGGGGCTGTGCTTTCCAGGCAAAACATCCGTGGTTTTCAGTGGCAGTTTTGCCCTCAATAAGGGGCTAAATGTGCATCAGAGCAGGGATCAAAATCCCTCTGCCCCACCCCAAAATCAAAGTATAATGGACTTTTTCCCAACTAAGATCCTGTAAACTCCGTGCAGTCCCATCTCCTCAGGGCACGAGAACGTGCTATATTTAGTGGACAATAACTCAAAAAATCTGTGTGTTTAAAACCAAAACAAAAAGAAAACAATCCCCAACCCCCCCAAACAACAACCCCAACACTTCAGCCTCGGATAGGGGTGGGGGGGCTGATGCTGGAGCTGAGGGATTGCACCCTCCAAAATCTGGGATGGTTTGGAGCGTTTCAAAGCCCACGTGGTTCCCCTTGGAACGTTCCTGGTGTTATTAAGCCATAAAGCACGGCGGTGTCTGTGGGCCAGCTGAACCCAGGGCTCCAACCATATCTGGGCTGGAGGCTCTGCAGCTCCTCCTCACCTCTGGGTTAAAATTAGTGCCATCATCTGCAGCGTGATTCACTTCTAAAAATGACCTGTCCATCTGCCCCGGCGTGGCAGAGCTGCCCAGCCTGCAGCCCTGGGCTTCCCAAAGTCCTCCTGGCACAGCCCAGGCCTTTGGGATCCCACTTTTGGCTTTGTTAGGTATGTTTGGGTCAGGCATTAAATTCAAATAAAACTGTGGTGTGGCTGATTTTAATTTTTTTTTTTAAGTATCAATCGGGAGTTTCTGCTCTTGATATTTTGTTATTAAAAATCTCTATGTGAAATGTTTAATCATAGGAAAGGAGGTCTGTTGTGTGTCTGTTTCTGATGCCAGTGCTGAAATATTTACCAGCTTTTTTGGGTGCTGGGTCAAGCCCTAAATCAGGAATTTTTCCTCAGTTCCAGCTTCCCAAAGTTCTTGGGGAGTGAGTGCTGGGAACCCAGTAAAGCTCCCCAAAGCTGCTCCCATGTCTGAGAGTTGTGTCGCTCCTGGAACATCCTGGGGCTTTGGGATCCCACTTTTGGCTTGGATAAACACATTTGTTTCAGGCATTAAGTTCATATAAAACTGCAGTCTGGATGATTATCAGGTTTTTTTTAAATATCAATCAAGCGTTTCTACTCTGGATATTTTTTAGCAATCGGGTGTTTCTGCCCTTGGTATTTTGTTATTAAAAATCCATCCTGAAACCATGAATTAAAAAACCAAGGGGGGTTGTTCTGTTCGTGCTGGTGGCAGCACTAAAGGATTCCTCAGCTTTTTGGGTGTCGGATCGAGCCCTAAATCCGGAATTTTTCCT